GTGTGTGTGTGTGCGAGTGTGTGTGTGTGTGTGTGTATGTGTGTGCGTGTGTGTGTGTGTGTGTGTATGTGTGTGCGAGAGAGAGAGTGTGTGTGTGTGTGCGCGCACGGGCGCGTGCGCTTGCGCGTGTGCGCGTGCGCGCATGATTGTGTGCACAAATGCGCGTCGGAGCGCGCTCAAGGGTTGTGTGCACCTGAGAAGTGGTGGGGGGATGGCGTTCTGCTGCCCCAATGCCTTGACAGGTGTATCAAGATGGAAGGAGGTCCCACGCGTGCGCCACGCCACCCCTGGCCCCCCACCCTTGCAGCGAGCACGCGCCCGCAGCTCGTGCCCTCCTGCCCGTCCCCCTCCGCCCCATGACTCATGTGACCCACCAGCTGCTCGATGGGTATGAAGATCCTCGCAAAGTACCCGAGCCCCAGGCCAGCAACTGCCCGGAAGCTGTCGCCCACGTCCAGCCCCAGCCCGAGCTCGCACGTGTAGAACACAGCGGCAGCGGTCCCCAGCTGCAGGCAGGCCGCGATCTTGACCAGATCTGCGCGGCGGCGCGCGGCGGTCAAGATCATCGGCGAAAGGACGAGAATCGAGCAGAGCAGGGTCCGCAGGTCGGGGCGCGAGGGGGTGCGGTGCGTGGGCGGCGGGCGGAGAGGTGAGCTAGGGGGGGGGGGCATTGCACGAGTCAGTGGGAGGTGGCCGCAGCCGCCAGCTGCATGGGAACCGGTTGGCACCTGGCAAAAGGCAAACTGTTCCAATCCAGACACACCGACGCAGACGTTAGCGCCCGCCCGCACGTGCCCCTCGCCCAGCTGTGGTGCTGACTCAGCGACACCGACGCTAACGAGGGAGCCCCAGGGCCAGCCGTCCGCAGCCAGCAAAAAAAATCACGCTGGTCCAGCCCCCGGCCCCGGCCCCGCGTCCCCAGATGACCCACCAAGGAAGAAAGAATAGGGGTCCTCGTCGCTCCCCACGCTCGCCAGCAGCGGCCCCAGCTGCGCCTGCGCGACCTGGCGCATGAGTGAGTCGCCCTCCGCCGCGTCAGACAGCTTCATCTGGTCTATGAGGGAGGCCTGCGGGGACAATGGTGTGATGCGGAGGAGGGGGTGTTTTGTTGTGATTATGTGTGTGTATATGTGTGTGTGTGTGCGTGCATGCGTGCGCATGGGGTAGGGAAGGTGTGTTTATGCAGCAGTGTGCAGGAGCCATGTTTGCGAGCACAGGCTGGGCTCTCTTGTACATCCACCCGGGATGCGTTTGCCCAATAATACACGGGCACGGGCGCGGCGGCGCGGAAGGGCGCCTGTCTGGCGGCCTGGTCCGAGCACCTGGTCTGGGGGCAGCTCTTTCTTAAGCTCCTGCTTCAGCTTGTTCCATGCAGGCTCGAGCATCTTGTCCGCAATCTCATCTGCATCTACATCCTCCGCCGTCCTCTCAGGCCGCCCGCCGGCCCCGCCGCCGCCGCCGCTGCCCTGGCCCGCGCCGCCGCTGCTGCTGCCGCTGCTGTCGGCGCCGCCGAGCTGCGGGCTGGCGGGCGCGCCGGGCTGCGGCTGAACGGGCGGCTGCCGGTTGCTATGGGAATGTCGGCGCGGCGCGAGATAAGTGCGTGAGGGCGCCATGTCGAATGGAACAACACTGGGGGGCAGAATGGTGAGACAATCGAGACAGACAAGTCCTCTGAGGGCAGCAGAGGCTCGTCACCCACCTGTCGTGCGCCTCTGTTGGCTCGATTGTTTCACTTTCGGGCCCCGGCCGTCCAGCTTTGCAGACCGTCGCGCGCATGCGGCGGGGCGGCGAGCAGTGCAGCGCGCCGACACAATGTGTCCCGGCGTGCGACCGCCGCATGGACACTTGGCCCGGTGCAGCTTGCCGCAATCCCATCATCATCCTCAGGGTGCGTGCTGCTGCTTTGAAGGAAATGAGTTGCGTTCGGTGTAGATTGGTCACCACAGGGCCTTGCTGAGGATCGTCGTTTGCTCAATTCAAGCGAATAGATGAAAAATTCGCCCATCGATGGAGGACGTCTGCAAGCACTTGCACCGCCCGGTATGACAACGATATGAAAAGGCGGGCCTTGCGCCAACATACACGAAGGTGATGCTGCGGTTGTATACTCTGTAAGGTGAACAGGTGAGATTCACCAAGTTGGGAGGCGCACCAAACAACTTTGTAGCACGCTGCGCGCGCTGCTCGTGCTGTGAATGACAGCACCGGCGTACAGACGACCTGTGGCAGGTTCTCAAATACCTTCAATGGGACCAACAGAAGTGATTGCGCACCCTGATCAACCTTCCAAGCCTGCCCACACCCGCGGTAGACCGCCCGTGCCGGCTGTTGGTGTCACAGTCGGCAGCTAGCACATGCCTAGGCCGGGGCCTGGCACCAACAGATGTGAGTGACCACCCATCAGGTGCTGGCTTGCATGCGGGGTTGCAGCATTGAAATGACTTGAGGGTGCGTTTACAGCAGAGGCCTGCGGGCCGGGCACACATATGAATCATGCAGCTGCCTGCAGTATCTAGGGAATCGCACGCGGTGCACAGGTCGATTAATGGGACGAGCAGCACAGCCACACTGCAACATGGGGTGCGGACTCAAGCTCAGACACTGGGCAAGGCGCGCACTGCGCGTCGCTCTGGGCCACTGCGCGGCCGGAAGAGAGAAAGGGGCTCACACTCACAGCACAAAAAAAGAGATGACAGTCACTGAGCATGGGGCAGCAGCCTGGTCAGCCGGGCACCCATCAGCCTCTCAAAACGCCCCCCTCTGGACACGCAGCTGCAGGGGCGCAGGGCTTTGCTTCCAAAAACTGCTCGGAGCGGAGTTCACAGGTGAGGGGGCCCCACTCGTGAAACGTGAACTTCACACCCACTCGCGGGGGTTCTTGGTGGCGTCGATAAAGTCGGCCTCCTTGGACCCCGGCTCGGGCTTGAGGTCGTACTCCCAGCGGCTGCGGGGAGGGGAGAGGAGGGAGGGAGAGTGGGCGTGCGTGCCGCGTGGGTGCGCCGCCCAGGCAGGCCGACGCACTGGCAAGGGTGCGCCCTCACCCGCTCTCCCAACCCCACCACTGGGCCCCTCGCATCTTGGACCCATGGGGCCCCACCCATGGGCCCAACGCATGGGCCCCACCCATGGGCCCTGCACATATACAAATCCACATGCATGTACACACCCAGCGCCCGCTCGCTCACACCTGCCTCTGCCCCCTCTCAGACACACACCCCAACCCCCC